GGTGATGGCAGTAGGGGGTGGGAGGGAGAGGGGTATGGAGGGTGGATGGGGGCATGCTTCGGGGACAGAAAATAAAATTTTCTTTCGAAATCGAACAAAAATTCATTTTCTCCAATTGAGAGATGTTACCGAACATAGAAAAATAAAATCAAAATTTTATTCGTAGAACTCAACACTAACTATAATTAACTTTGATTCATACAGAAATATACACTTTTCGGTCTCACATCACAGTTATGCGAAATTGATCTCGGATATTAACTTCTTGGTATTCTTTGATTTAGCAATTGCGCAATGCCAATCGGTAACAACTTCCTTTCATGCATCATTGTGTTGCCAAGCAAGTTTTGTTGTCAAAGCAAGGAAGTTTCTTGGCAAAGGGTATGCAAAACGGTTCTTTCGTCAAACTATTATACCCAGCTAGCTAAAGTAAGCTAAGGTTGTTGCTTTGATTTTGTCAAACAACGCAATTAACCCGGTTGCTTGACCTATATGGAATTGGTTCCCCACTTGCTCGGCTCGACCACTTTACTTCATTAGTTCAAGTATTCTACGGTTGATTTGTACTCCCTTCCGTTTGGAAAAACCCTTCCCATTTTGATTTGGGGCAAAAATAAGAAAGTGTTAAATTATAATTGATTTCCAATTTTGCCCCTGATGTGATGAGTAAAAGTAAGATATGATGGATAGATTATTAGAGAAAAAGTATGATGTGATAGGTAGGGTATGAAAAAGTAAAGGTAAAAGTGGTTTTTTAATAGAAAAAGGAAGTGTTTTGTTGGAAGTAGAAAAAATAAAAGAAAAAGTGTTTTTGAGAACGGAGAGAGTAGAAAATTGAACCATCCATTTTTTTATACTCCGTAACAAGTAGTAAAAACACACCTATATGGCTATGTAATTGATTGCATTTCTTTTGAAGAATGAGGCCGGATAGCCTTGTTGCGAGGCATATAGTCCATGGTCAAAAATTATATCAAAAAATCTACAAAATTAACATTAGAAGTGACATGACAATATTATTTTATGAAATGAGTTACGAAAATAGACAAATAAAGTGAATAAAATTTGACTGACGAGAATAAAGTGAATAAAATTTTAGACAAATAAAGTGAATAAAATTTTACTCCACAATTTAAGACCCAACCAAATAAATTAAAACGATATCACCGGCCACAGTCCAATCTTTTGAATCACAGACAACAATGGCGGATTACACTCTCATCATTATCAAACCATATCTATTCTCCTCCTCCCTCCTCCTCCTCCTCTTTCCTCTCTACCTAATCTCCAAACACTTCCGCCGGAAAATCAAGAACCACCCGCCGGCCCCCTTCCTCGCCCTCCCCGTCCTCGGCCACCTCTACCTCCTCAAGAAGCCTCTCCACCGGACCTTAACCCGCATCTCCAAGCGCTACGGACCCGTCGTCCTCCTCGACCTCGGCTCCCGGAAGTTCCTCACCGTCTCCTCCCCTTCCGCCGCGGAGGAGTGCCTCTCCAAGAACGACGTCGTTTTCGCCAACCGCCCTCGCCTCATGGTCGGGAAGTACATAGGGTACAATTACACCTCCCTGGTCTGGGCACCCTACGGCGACCACTGGCGGAATCTCCGGCGAATCGTGGCCACCGAAATCCTGTCCAACAATCGCCTCCAGACTCTCCACGAAATCCGCGCCGATGAGGTGAAATCCATGCTGAGAAAGCTGAGTTCCGCTTCCGATTCGGATTCCCCTGCGGATATGAAGACTCTGTTTTTCGAGCTGATGTTGAACCTTCTGATGAGGATGATCGCCGGGAGGCGGTATTACGGCGACGAAGTGGGGGATATCAGGGAGGCAGAGCGGTTTAAGGAGATAGTCAAAGAGGTATTCTTGCTCAGTGGGGTCAACAACGTGGGAGACTACGTGCCGGCGTTGAGCAGGGCGTCCGGGGACTTGCTAAAGCTACAGCACAAGAGGGACGCTTTCTTTCAGAATCTGATCGCCGACTGCCGGAAAAGAATAGATAACGGCGGCGAAACGGCGGCCGGGAATAAGAAATCATTTGTGGAGGTGCTGTTGACGCTGCAAACAGAGGAGCCAGAATATTACAATGATGAAAGTATCCGAGCGCTTATGTCTGTGAGTATATTTAGTCTTTGACTTTTTGGATGGAGTCTGATATTTCTTCAGGATAAATTCCATAAAATATTTTCAGTTATAGGCTGTTTTATATATTTATATTTAGTTTTACATATCAAATACTACTAATTTAGTCCCAGTTATTATATTCATTTCCACGAATGGTTCTTTGTTAACATTTCTGTTAGGAACGTGGATAAAATTGTAAGTTCTCACTCTCTCTCTCCTCAATTAAGCTTCCTCCCTCCTCTCGTACTTTTTCCCAAACCCGTCGTTAAGTTTGAAGCTTCAAACCCAAAATTAAAATGATCATTCCTCTCTCAATTATTAGTCTTCCTGGTGGAACCTAAAATCAAAATCAATAAGCTTTATGGATGAGTTTTATCAGTTAGTCTCAATAAATTACAAAGAAAATAAACATTAAAACTCATCCACGAAGGTTACTGGTTTCGAATTTGAGTTCCACCAGTTAGACTAACAATTGAGAGAAGAGTGATGATTTTGGTTTTGGGTCCAAAGCTTCAAACTCGGCGACGGGGTTGGGAAAGAAGTGTGAGGGGAGGGAGGAAACTTAATTGAGGAGAGAAAGGAGTGTGAATTTCAATTTTATCCACGTTCGTAATGAAAATGTTAACAAAGGACAATTCGTGGAAATGAATATAATAATTGTGGACTAAATTAGTAATATTTGATATGTAGGGACTAAATTTGTAAAACGATCTATAATGGGGGCCTTCTATGGAATTTACTCTATTTTTTTACTTAAATTGATTTTTGAATTTGACTATTATTGTTAAATTCCATCAAATTGTGTCCTTAGCCCTGATGACAATTTGACTTTTATCGTTAAATTTCATCAAATTTGATTGTTAATTATTCATTCTAGACATTAAACAAGATATATCTTAAAATATTACGATTTGTTAATAATTTGTGGTCAAATTTAATTTTTTTTCACTGCAAAAATTAAATTATCATATTTTATTTAGGACGAGTAATTTAGATGTTAATATCGATTGGTTATGGTACAGGTGATCTTAGCAGCAGGAACAGATACATCAGTGGCCACAATGGAGTGGGCACTCTCGCTTCTATTAAACCACCCACAAGTCTTGAAGAAGGCGCGAAAGGAAATCGACGATCTGGTCGGACGGGAGAGATTAATTGCGGAATCCGACTTGGCTAACCTCCCTTACCTGAACTGCATAATAAAGGAGGCGATGAGAATGTACCCTGCAGGACCACTAGGGGTCGCCCACGAGTCCTCTAAAGAGTGCACCGTAGGAGGGTACCTTATTCCCAAGGGCACAATGTTGCTGCTCAACTTTTATTCCATCCATAGGGACCCCAAATATTGGGAGGACCCGGAGAGTTTCATGCCCGAGAGATTTGAAGGGTTGGAGGGAGTGACGGGTGCCAAAGACCATGGCTACAAATGGATGCCTTTTGGGTCGGGCAGGAGAGGATGCCCCGGGGAAGGGCTGGCCTGGCGTATGATCGGGTTATCGTTAGGGTCGTTGATACAGTGCTTTGACTGGGAACGAATGGATGGGAGTGAACTGGTGGATATGAAAGAAGGAGGTGGTTTGACCATGCCCAAAGCTCTGCCTTTGATGGCCAAGTGCAAGACAAGACCTTTTGTCAAAGACTTGCTGTCTTTCTAACTATTGTTACTTCGTTCACTATTTTTGCTGTATCATTTTCATATTATGTTTTCACACTATTACTACTGTTCTACTTCCATCACATTTCTTTTCCTTTAGGGGAAAAATGTATGTGAACATGCTGTTACACAATAAAATATAGATGCTCCTTTGTCCCGTAATTGTATCTCTTTCCTATTTCAAGACATCTCATATTTTCTCATAAAATATGGTGGAGACTAGAGAGCCATAAAAAAAAATTTAAAACATCATGAAATACATGATACTCCGTATTTCATAGGAGATGGCCATTGTTTTCTCCACACATATCTAGTTCAATCATAAACACAAAATAGATCGGGAAATCGCGCTCATGAAATGAAAAAGAGACCAGATTTACAACATGATTCTACATTTAAGCACAAATTCAAAACTAAGAAAATACTATAAAGGATATGCCAGTAAAAATATACCAAGTAGTTTCTTGTACTCCGTAACAATTAAAGAAATATTAATGGCAATAATACTAAATAAAATGCAGCAGTCCATTATTATGATCTTTTGCATTAATCCATTATTTACGACAGCTAAAACACTGTCAATTTTTGCTCTTTAAATTCCTAATGGTTAATAAACAAGTGCATTTTCAGTACGCGATAATCATGTCAATGTTACAACAAGCAATGTACTCACAGGGCCTTTGGCAACTACATAACCGTCACTACAATAAACCATTACAACACCACATGCATGAGAGAGAGAGGCTTTCATTACTGTGTGCGCACCCTGCTATTTTCGGCAGCGCTGACCAGGAAGCAGGAAGAAGTATGGATGCGGCTAAACAAAACAAAAGAAGAAAACGGTTTGACACCTTAATCAGAAGGCCATGCAATGCGAGTTAATATTTAATTTAAGACCAGTAATTTCACAAGGGCAAAACTCAAAACTAGATGAGACATATAGGGAATTAGCAATAAAATAAAGCCATCACATGTTTATTACCAAAGCTTCTTTAGCTGTAAGCCTGTCTCGATGATCATAACGAAGAAGCTTATCAAGAAAATCAATGGCCTGGGCATGATGACACAAAATCCAATTTTGGATGCAGAAAACATCAGAGACACAAAGCTATTTATGATGGGTGAAGATGTTTTGTCAGGGGAAAAAACACAAACCTCAGGACATCCCAAATACTGGTTGTCTGAGTTGATAAATCGCAACCACAGTTTCCTACTGTGTCTGCGGGATAAAAATTTAGTCGAATTGGTATTATTATGCTGGGAATTCATTTTACAACTAAAAATGTGACAAGTTAGAATATGAATACCTTCTAACTATAGCATCAAGTTGAGGATCGAGCTCCAAATTATATGTGTTAAGATATGCATTCAATTCATCTGTGCCAAGAACCTAGAAATTTTGCAAATGTACTTAATTGGCAGGTTTATAGGAGATGCATGCTACTTTAAAGGCGTGGCATGTCCACATAAAATGAAAACTAGCACTACAATCACAAATCGCAATGACCATAAGAAAAAATTGGGCTTCCAAAGAAAAATAAATTCAATTCGCTCCTTACACAGCGAAAATACATGTATATTTATCATCACATAGGTAAAGTCCATACACACAAACCTCCCACACCCCACCAACCCAAAAAACAAGTACTACTTTTGGGTGGGATATATTAGGTTTGGTTTGGGATATACAAATAAAGAAAACAAAAAAAATCATTGGTGAGTTATCCATCCGATCTTACTTAACACCAATGGAACTATTTACAATTATATAATTATACAATAAGCAATAAGTTAAGCAGTAATAATCGTATATCATATCCTACTATGAGCTGACATGACAAATTCAAACTTCAAAGTGTGAAGCAAATACTTCCCATGGAATTAATTCAAATGGTAACACCAAACGAAACGTCAACAACTTAAACCAATCAAGATTTCAGAAGTATGAGCATAAATACCTTTGCAATTGAAATTGGTTGATCTTGGTTGTCATGGCCATAGAAGAAGGGCTCTTTCCTGAAAATCTGCAGGTTAAACAAATTAAATTTCATGTTAAATTCGGCATTAAGAAGAGAGTATGCACAAAAAATCTCATACCATTCCAGCAAACATGCAGCCAAGACCCCACATAACCAATGAATAATCGTAGTCTTGCAAATCTATAAGTAGTTCAGGCCCCTTGAAGTATTTGAATTAGACAAAAAGGAAAATCAATAACTATAGAGAAAGGATTTACTGAATGGAATTATTTTTCATCTTCAAGCACATCCTAGTTGAATTGAAATAAGCCCTCACATAAACATAATAGTTTGTGCAAATAGAAATGAAAGGGAAACGTACCTCGAGGCTACTTTGACATTATACTCTTTACCAAGATGATAGAACTCAGCAAGCCTCCGGTCAACCAGACGAAGTTTTCGAAGTTCATGATCGATCATGACGTTGTGAGGTTTAATATCTCTGTGCATTATTCCTGGTGAATGTCAATAATCCAATTCCTGAATTCATAAAGGCCTTTACAGTGAGCTTAATAATACTACGTACAATATTATACATGACTACCAACGTGTGAATTCGAGAAAATGTGCTTCTAAAGGCCATCGCCTTACAAAACACTTCTGAGTTTTTTTAAACTGATAATCTAGAAAATGTATATATTTTAGAAATGGATAACTTGTGAAAGATGTAGGATTTGTTAAACAGGACCAGATCAAAGTAAAGTAGAATATTTTACTGATGTGTACCATTACAGGATTCATTGTGTTCTCTAATATAAATAGAGAACAAACCAACACAACTCTTACTAACCAACACAACTATTACAAACCAACACACCTATTAACATAAGAAACTACCCATAACTGCCTTTTAAAAACTACCCAACTGTTTTTTTATTTAAATTAATTAAATATGTAAAACACACTAAACGACACCACACTAATTGACTCTATACTAACTGACCCAAACATTGACTCATTACCCATTCGGTTATATGTGAACAAACCTGATTAAATCTAGCAATCACGCCCCTAATCGTTGTTTGTTCACACTGATCTTCACAGCAACGTTGTTTCATCATCATCTTCAATCAAATTTGCAATGTGTTCCTTTTGATCCCATTTTGGACATTCATTGAGAAAATGCCCTAGCTGAATGCACTTGAAACACTTAATGTGACTCTTTTCCCGCTGAAACTGTCCACCATCCCTACTTTTCCCGGACCCCTGACCTCTACCTTGGCCACGTCCAAAGTCTTCTTGGTTTGAGCTCCCACAACCACAATGCTCAATTTTGTGCTCCTTAACCTTCTCTTTTCCATCACTTTTAGTGAATAGTAGTTTACCTTGAATATCTCCTTCGACAATTTTCACAAAATTCTTAACTCCGATTCCTTCCCAGGTCATAAGCCACCTGCAATCGACCACCAACCTGAAAACAAGCCCTTGCTTTTTTGTATTCCAAGCCACTAAACGAAAGCTACCCCGCTGATTCGTTTTTCCCGTGCTGTTTGGTTGGAATCCTTTTGCCAAAGGAAAAAACTAGCCACCTGCTATTTTTGTCCTAGGCGAGGAAGAATTTGTCGAAGATTCTTGATCTGTTGTCGAGGATCGTTGGGTCCTTATTGGATTTTCGCTCCGATACCAATTGTTAAACAGGACCAGATCAATGCAAAGTAGAATATTTTACTGATGTGTACCATTATAGGATTCATTGTGTTCTCTAATATAAATAGAGAACAAACCAACACAACTCCTACTAACCAACACAACTGTTACAAACCAACACACCTATTAACATAAGAAACTACCCATAACTGCCTTTTAAAAACTACCCAACTGTTTTTTATTTAAATTAATTAAATATGTAAAACACACTAAACGACACCACACTAATTGACTCTATACTAACTGACCCGAACATTAACTCATTACCCATTCGGTTATATGTGAACAAACCTGATTAAATCTAACAGGATTGTAGGATCTGATTAGTGCCATTGGTGCGATAGAGATTTTTTGATGGTGATGCAAGTTTCAAGGAATTTAACAGCCACCAAGCATGCTATTTGGACTATGGGAGCAAAGTGCCAACAATGACTAAAATGGATACAGATAGTGAAAATTACAAAGCTTTTACATTTTAAAGCATAAATCACATGAGGAAACAATCAAACATCTTTAATTATTTGTTTGAATTAACATGTAATTGACTTAATGCTCCCATGGTATTAATTGGTGACTAAGAATTCAATTTTTTTTTAAAAAAAGTTAACATAAATAGAGGAAAACTCAAAATTAGAAAATTAAAATCAGGTAGCAAAACTATTCTACAAACAGTGCTACAGCCACATTAGACCTTATCATCACGTTAGAAATTGGTTATTGCCTTTGACCAACTGGAAATTTTCAGCCTTTCTTGAAAAATTGAGAGCTTATTTGCTTTTTCTGAGGTTTTATCTCAAACCTTAGATAAAATAGTAATGAATTATATAGAATGGGACCCTACAAAAGAAGGAAATCCCTCTCCTTCCCAAGTAATAAAAAAAAGAGGTGAGCAAATAAAAGAATAGTTGTAAATAAAGTCCTCTCTCTGTAACAGAATATAAAAAGGGAACCTTAAGAAGCTCATAAATGTAGTAGCGGATGTCATAATCAGTTCGTGTAGGATACAAGACTTTGAAGTCGGTGTTGCTCACATGTTCAAAAACTAAACTCGGAGTTTTAGAGTGTGGATCCCGGACAACATCATATAGTTTCACGATATTTGGGCCACCACAATGATTCTGAAGTATTTTTATTTCCCTTTTATCTGTACCAACAAGAAAGGTTTAACATTTATTTTTAGAGCAAACCAAGTCAACTAACCAAGTAATGTAAGAAATAGCTAGACAATGGCTAAGTATTGCAATATGAGTAGATTATGCAAGCAAATAACCACATCAGATGCAGTTCAATGATTCAACAACAGTAGTACAAAAAAACTTCTATATGATATAAGAGTTCCAAGAAACACACCAGAAAATTGAGGGGAAATTTTAAGTATGTTTCCTAAACAACATAATAAACAGATCATATTATATTTTCACTAAACATTAGCAATTTCTTAAGTTATTGGATTCAAAGTGCCCATTTATTACACAAATTGCACATTTTAAAAGTACTGGGAGCACTCCCGATGCAGTTGTCTTCTTTCACGTGTTCACACCATATGTCTTATTTGCCCCATGTGAAACACACACACACACACATTGTGTGTGTGCATGTTTTGTGTAATTGTATCTTTTGCTATGAAAGAGGCACCCCAAAAAAATTAAAAGCTTTATACAACATAAAATACACACAGAAGTGATCACGATGTTGTAGAACTTTCCTAAATACATAGGCTTAAGGATTTTGATGATGCATTTTTCATTATTGGGGTCTGGGGACATTTATTCCCTCCAAGACCTCACTGTATTTACCTCTTCCCACTTTCCGAACAACTTTGTAGTCGGAACCCTGATCACTGGTTGCTGATAAAGCAGAATATGTAAAGAGATTGGAACAGAAAATTCAACCAAACTTGACAAGTTCAAAGGCATGAAATGCTGCTATCAGTAAATTTTCATACACTGCCCTTCAAAGTTTTCTAAATAGCAAACGATTTCATCTCATCGGAATCAATAAGATTAATTGATCAAAATTTAAATCTAAAAAAAAAACTAGTGCTTAATGTTGGATTTAGATAAGGAAGAACACCGCGAAGCAGTGTTAAACGAAGAACTCGATAGAATAACGAATCGCGTACGTAACGCTTTCAGATCAAAGTTATTTCGGGGTATACGAAATACTTCAATCGGATAAGACGTTAATTCAGAACAAGCACTCGAGAATCTATATCTCAACCCATACCACGAGACTCTATTTTATAGAGTCGAAAATCCTTGTGATCGGACATGAACGTTCGCGTAGAAGTACGCGTACGTTCGCGCAAGAAGAAAAAGGTGCGAGTTTGAACGAAAGGTCTCCTGCGGTTGAAGGCTTAATTTCGACGTTTATCCATTATGTACGAGTCCTTTACCGTTTTGGACTCCGGTCACGAAAATCTTAAGGATTTTCTTAAAGAAACAACGTCCGAAATAAAAAATTTCCAAGCTGTCCCGACCCTGGCCAGGGGCTGCCGCCCCTTGGACCCCGCTACCCGGGGGCTGCCGCCCCCGGACCCCTGTAGTAAATTTATAATATAGCGCCTCCTAACTCGTTTGACAACGTCTATTTAAATTCTTGTCCGATCAAAGTAACTCCAATTACACAAAATAAATTGATGACACTATAATCACCAACACTTAATGAGTAAAATACAACCAATATTTCATCTCAGGAACACAGTAAATCTACCGAAAGATAAACTGAGAAGTCCTCAGTCCAGTCCATATAATCACCATAAACGGAAAAAATGTATTTAACAAACACGAATTCGGAATGGGAAAACAAAACAGGTAAAAATAGATTTAGGGCAATATAAGCTGGCATTATTAATTACCCCCACTGAACGTCGAGACCCTCGTAGTCTCGGTACTCTTTAGGACTTTGAGAGTTGACGTCGGCGTAGACTCGCGCTACAGACATCAAATAGCTCGACACACCAAATGAAGGATCTGGAGAAGAAGAAGAAGAAGAGAGCTGAGCTAAAAAGCTATGGCGAAGCCCTTTTGTCTGTTTGCTAAACGATACCAAGCTTGAGAACCTTTTAAGCATTCATGGGCCTGATCTAGCTTCTCATTTGTGTACTATTGGCCCAAAACCATTTCACCATTTGTTGGTGCATTTATTTGTCTCAAACTTCCCCTCCTATGTGTAATGTGTCTTTTTTGAGTTAATTTTTTTTGTATGTACATTGGAGAAATTTTAAGCAACAATTTGAACAAATGTTATATTGAATATTAACAATTTAGAATACTTTTTTAAACAATATTTTATAAAATACGAAATTTTTTATTAAATCATACTTTTACTAATATGTAGTGTAATTTTTATTTAACTGATGATAAAAGATTATCTAATTTGAGTGCGAAAAAATCAAACAAAACAAACATATGGAAATGAATTCAGAAAGTGCATTTTAAAAAGGTTCTAGAAATGGTTGCGTTACTCAAAACAAGAAAACAATAAACTATTGTCTGAAAAAATGTAAAATGAGATTATGTACCATACAAGTATGCAACATCTCATATTATTATATTGGGCAAGGTTCCCATGCCATTGGGCGCTCCGGTGCCCCGTTCGTAAAATTGACGGTTCCTACCCCCCTAACCCCCCCGTAACCCCCCCCCCACCCCCTTCAATTGCACCCCACAAGTTGATTTTGACTTTGGAGTCAAAATTTGACTCCAAAGTCAAAATCAACTTGTGGGGTGCAATTGAAGGGGTGGGGGGTGCGTTTTGGTCGGGGCGGGGTGGGGGGTAGAAACCGTCAATTTTATGAACGGGGCACCGGAGCGCCCCCGGGTCATCCCATGACATTGGTTCCCAATGTCATGGGAACCAAGGTGTATTATATTTCTTGTTTTGTAATAACATTGATTTAGAAGAAAACATGGTTTTCCGCATAAACTACAACAAAGTAATTTTACTTTTCAACACGTTTTTTAAACTTTATATATATCTCAAAATCAGACAATTTTACTAGGGAGCGAATAGTTTTAACTTCTAGACATGTTCCTTTGCTCTAGTCTCCAAAATCCAACTTTCAAACTTGAACTCTGTAAGTCCCAATCTCCATTCATATGTACTTCATCCTTCTCAATTTGAGTTGTCTACTTATTTATTATTATTGAATTAAGCTATTTGTATTCCAAAGACATGCATTAACATTTTGTGTTAGTGTAATGCTAGTGTAATGGTTTACAATGACACAAAATATTAGCGCAAATGTTTTTCTATGAACTACGGAGTAGCATTTTATGTTAGTGTGAACCTTTAAAATGTTGCTGCATCTCTTTGGCGTACATTTCTTGGTGTACCCTAGCATGGTTGTTATTTATTTGTTAAAACTTTAATCATGTTCTTTATTCATTTTTGCTACTCGTTTGAAAATAAAATAGTTTTATTATCTCTTTTTTAATTCCACTTCAATTTTCAAAAAAAATTAAATAGAAAATAATTTCAATCAAATATTGTAAATAACAAGCAATTTAAATTGAGACAGAGAGAGCCTCCATTTTTACTATTCAACACGCTTTTAAAACTGTATATATCTCAAAATTGGACAATTTTACTAAGGAGCGAATATTTTTTACTTCTAGACTTATTCCTTTGCTCTAGTCTCCAAATTCCAACATTCAAATTTCAACTCTGTATATGTACTTCATTCCACTCAATTTAAGTTGTCTATTTATTTCTTGTTATTGAATTAAGCTATTTATACCCCAAAAAGTTTGCGTCGTTTTGTATTCCAAAGACATGCACCAACATTTTGTATTATTGTAATGCTAGTGTGATATACAATGACACAAAATATTAGTGTAATTTTTTTAACTAGCATTTTATATCAGTGTGAACCTTTAAATATTGGTGCATCTATTTGAGGTACAACTTGGTGTACATTTCTTGGTGTACCGCTAGCAATCCTAGCATGATTGTTATTTATTTGTTAAAACTTTAATCATGTTCTTTATCCATTTTTGCTACTCATTCAAAAATAAAATAGTTTTATTGCCTCTTGATTTATACGGAGTAAAAACAAATTATATAGAAAATAATTTTGATCAAATATCATAAATAACAAACAATATAAATTGAGACAGAGTGAGCCTCAATCTCAAAATTAAACAATATGTTTACTATTCACAGAATTAAATTTCATTCACTTTTTAACATATGTAATATAGAATATAATTCTATTGAAATTCACTAATCCATAGCAATTCATACATCTCAAACCAAATTCTTTGGAAATAAGTACTACGTACTTCGTACTAATAAAAGATTACGTAGTACTACGTACAATTTTCATACACCTTTTTCATTCTGGCCCCGTTTGGTACATGGAATTCAAACTATGGAATTGGAATTGAGGATTTCAATTCCAATTCTAGTGTTTGGTAGCACAAATATTATGTAGATTTGGAATTGATAGTGCAAAAAATTGAAATTGACATAATTCAATTCTATGGAATTGAATCCAATGGAATTACAATTCCAATTCAATTCCAATTCCACCAATTCCTTATACCAAACGGACCCTCTATGATTTTAAAAAAAAAAGAGAAAGGAAAAGAAAAGAAAGTCTCAGTAGTGGAAATACTACACATGAAATGAAAGCACGCTTATAATTTTCCAGTCTGAATAATAAAACAATTAACTAGGAGAGAAACACGTTCTTACAGCTTCCATTTATCAAAATGACTGAGAACCTTTTAAGCAAGAAGAAGAACAAGTTAAAAAGGAGCAGAGACAATATATTATGAGCAAAACGAGTTTGCCAGATAAACTGGTGGCACGCCGAGATCTATTCATCAGCCGAAGAAGCATCAGAAGGGATTCTCTCATACAGGCGATAAACCAAAGTGGATTTTGACATTTGCGGCTCCCTTTCGAGCACAGAAATCACATCTTTTACAGTAATGCTGCAGCAGCCAACTCTTGTTTGGGGCACAATCTGATTTCTTCCCCCACTCCTATCCTCACTTGCTAAAGAAGAAGAAAAAACTAACTTGAAGAAGGCACAAGTCTATTATTATTCTACCACATGTGATAAAGTAGTGTGAGAATTCATTTTGAGCGCTTGTGTGAATTATAGCTTCTTTACATTTTGACTACATTTACCTTCATTCGATCAAATTTCGGAAGTGACCAAAAAAGAGCACTCCTTTTATGGAGCGAGAATGAATGAAGTAAACGAAACATACCTTGTGTGATGACTGAGGTTGATGAGCTCCTTCTTTCAACATCTTGGAGGTCCCTAGGATTCCTAGACGAAGAAGACAATGACCTCTGGGAGAAATCTTTACTATGATGTGAGCCCGAAGCTGCATCACGTTTCTGCTTAGCTTGTTCTGCCATCAGCTGCCACTTTGTCCACATATCGTCTCCCCCGACAGCAGCTCGAGCAGCAACATTAGCAGCTGTTGTTCTCATCTTGTCATCATCTTCCTTATTTACCTTGCAAGTATTAATGCAAAAAATAGAGAACGAAGTTTGTTATACAACCCAATAAAGTCCCACAAATCGGCGATCGGGGTTAGGTGGATAGGAACCATCAAATTTACTCATGGAGCACCATAGGTTCCCGATTCATTTTAATGTCAAATATCCTATCCGTGTGTGTGTGGGTGTGTGTGTATACATACAATTTCAATATATTTATTTGATCACACACACACACACATATTTCAATGAATTAATGTATTGAAATTGAATATATGTAATTGAAGTGTTCTTGATACCTTCAGTGACTTTGCTTGACCATCATCCCTATCCTTATCACTCTCAGCTGTAGTACTACCATCTGGCTGCGGGATAATAACATCAATTACATTTATTCCACAAACTAATTCTAAAAGAATACAAGTATTACAATTGCTTTGGAAAAAAAACAAGAGAAACTCACTTCATTTGTGTCTTGATGTTTATCTGTTTCGGCTTGTTTCTTCTCCCATTCTTCCCGAGCCTTTCTGTTCATTGCCATGATTTGTTGGCGAACATCAGAGGTAACAATTGTTCTATGCCTTGTCTTCTCAATGTCAGCTCGCTGTTGCATGCATTAGTCCAGTTAAGAGATAAGTGTCGTCATATAGTTTCTTTTGTAGAAAACTGAAGAGCATAGTTCTCAAGAATACACATACAATCAGATGTCACTATGGATTTAGACCTTATTTGGTCAATCGACTTCACAATCGATTGTTGTTGTCCATCAACTATACCTTATTTACTCGACTAAGTCCTCAACTTTTTATTATACTCAATTTAGTCCTTGAATATGGAAATTGGGCCAAATTTAAAGCTCAAGCATATATATGTTTCAAGAAGGATATTTTTGTTTGTTTGCTAACTTTAAACCCAGTCTGAACTCCATTCAATCCTCAAGTCTAGACTATGCACTTTTGGACTCACTTTAGTCCTCAACATACAAAATACTCTCTTTAAGGCTTGATTGCGTCAAAGTTGCATAGGTGAGGACAAAATTTAGTCCAAAGAAAAGTTGGAAATCAAATTTAGTACTTGTAATTGAGACCAACCTGTTTTGACAGCCTGATGATAGTACTTATCAGTGCGCGCAACCTTTCCTCAACACACTGAAAGTTGACCACTCAGTAACATGAAAAACAATCTACAAACAAGTATTGAAAATAAAAGATATGATCCCCACCAATGATAAGCACCGCTCCACATCATTGCTCATTTTCATCAGTCCACTTTTTCCCACTAGCAAAACAAAAGAAAGATAGTTATCAAATTGAATCATTTTATTTACAGTAAATTTAATATGAGATTTATTTATTTACTTATTTCAGTCAATTTCTTCTGAAGCGGAATTTTCTGCAAAATTAGTTGTTCCTCTTCTTCTTGCACAGCTCGCCTAGAAGCTTCAGAAACCCGACTATCTTCCTTGGGGCCAGAAAACAGTTGCTCCTCTTCTTCCTGTTTTTCACATTTTATCGCAACACTAAGTTATAACCGAAGATAAGAAACTTACTTGATACACCTGGAAACCAGTAAATCAGCTGCTTCAAGCCGTGGAAAAGGAGAGAACTTACCCTGAGATTAACTCCACTAACAGCAGTGACATCATTGAGCTGCTCAATGCTTTGATCTGAAAAGCCTCCAGATACCTTTTGCTTCTTCCTGAAAATGTCCCGCTATTAACAAACTAACAAATAAACACGTTGGCATAAAAAGTACTCTCTTCCTCCCTCTCTCAATATAAGCAGAAATATTTGATACCCTGACGGAGGAGGTGAAGACCCAAGTACTTCAAGTGGCTTCTTTTGGCCAATTGATGGCTTCTTTGAAAGATTTTTGGCACTATTTCCAGGTCCACTTGGAGATGTTACAGCAAGTGCGTTGGAGTGTATCTGATAAAGGGAAGATATTACATAAACATGAGGAAAACAGCAAAAACTAGGAAGCATACATCACTTTACTGAAGTAAGAGATACTTGAAGTAATAAACACCATGAAGAAACCAAAGATGAGAAAAGTAGTGTGTGTAGTTTTTTTATCGTCACAATTTACTCCAAATGAACAAATAATCACCAATATTTGTGGTTCAGCTTTCATCTTATACACAAATGAAGTCGTGGCCAATGGATATCAAAATCTATACCACAACCTAGATAAGTTTCTTTTTTGCATATATGATGCATACAGAAATAAAATGATCCCAAGTAGTACTTGTAGTTATTTTGAATTTATTATAGCTGATAGCAATGTATGAAATGCATATACACACCATAACAAAAAAAGGTGTAAGTATAACTACCGAATTATTAGTGTCAACATGAGATGGAGTAGACATTGGGCCTGAAGTTTGAGCTACCCTCTGTCCAGCTGTTAAGAAACCTGCTGTAGAGGGTTGGACATAAGTTTCATCATTTAAAGTTCCTAAAGTAGAAGCTCCTGGTTCATTTTGTGCAGGGGTGAAGGAAGGAGAAGATAACTGAGACTTGAGCTGCTGATCATGTAACTGATCTGTTGGTTCTACTTTTGCATTTATCATGGGTGATGGGAGTATACTTCTCCTCTCATTATTGCCTGCTGATTGCCAATGAGGTGAACCCTGTTGTGAGATTGAACTAGTCATTTGAGCAGCAGGTCTCCTTTGTTCCCCCAGAGAATTCTGTCTTTCAAATTTAGGTGTGGTGGTCATATTCATGGTCTGAGATCCAGGTCCTAACTGTGTTGGCCTTATATGGTGATCCTGTGGTTGGGATTTAATAGGTGTCGGCATTGATAAAGTATTAGTGGGAGGATATGGATGAAAATTGTTCCCCATATGCCCAAATGAAGAAAAAGATGCCTGGGGGTAGTGAAAATGCTTTTGTTGATGGTTATTAAGTCCCTGCATAGGGAATGTTGGATGCTCTCTTTCTTGTTTTATTGCAGCCAAATTTGAGGTAGACACTTGGCCTCCTGGCAATCCATGTAAATCTGTGTGGTGATCCCCCTCAAGCAACTTTTGAGCATTACTATTCATCACCAAGTTGCTCGAATCTGTTCTAATTTGCATTGCAAGATATGAAAATTATATTTAGGAATATAAGAGAGTAGGAATATTCTCACGAGAAATAAAAAATTAAAACAGGGTAGCACCATTTGATGTTGATTGCATATGTTGCTGCATTGAAACCTGAGACACTGGTGGAAACTGATTAGCTTGTCCATATTGTGCCTCTCTAGCGGCCTGTCCAGTTTAGAGTGGTTGAGTAGTGGATTGATATTAATACAGCAGAAATTGTGTTGGTTAAGCCTTTATTTGAATGGAAGGTTTTGGTGGAGTTTGGAAGGAAAGCCTTTACCTGAGACTGGAATTTAAAAACAGCCATCTTAAGCATCTGGTCACCTATAAGATTCCTCATGTGTTTAACAAAACCATCCTTGGTAATTTCATTTTTCTGAAAACAGATACCTCAATGTTAGAATCCTCAAACAAGACACGAAATATAATCAGATGTTTAAGTAACCCACCCTTAGTCTATGATATAGAGTCTGAAGTTGCATTGCTCTGTCCTTATCGAGCAAGGGCTGAATGTGAGGGAATAACATGGCAAATGGCACTTGTTTTCCTGGCTGGTGTACATTGCCTGCAGATTGGCTGCCTGTCATTGAAACCATTTCTGTTTGACTGGTCATCTTTTGTTGCTGACTACTTGTCCCAACAGGCATGGAATGTTGACCTGTAATAGCTGTGCAAGTGGGTTGTTGAGTGTTCACTTTGAGATATTGAGGGTCAGGATTTTGAGTTCTGCTGTGCTCCAGCATAGGGACAGCATTCTTATCAGAGCTCTGCATAGGTTGTTCATGTGTTGATAGCTGACCAGCATCTTTGGAGGAATCATTTTGATGTTGATTCTCAGCATCTTGACCCATTTGTGTTAGCTCCATTTCAGATGAATTATTATTATTGTATGATTGCTGCAGTGTGACATTGGAATCCTGAAGGCTCGGAGACGATGTATTTTCACTGTGATTGGTGCTTTTCCAGTCAACAAATTGATTTGAAGAGTGACTGTTCCCTTTTGATAATACTGTCCTTAATTAATTACTTGCATACACAAGAAAATTTATGCTAGGCAGTAAAATTTAGAAATTCCTTAACAAAATAATGAAAGGTACTGCGTACAGTAAATTTTATAAACGGATATATGGTCTATCTAAAAGGGGCCATTTCTCATTGCCACACAAACACTTTTTCTGACCAATTGCAGCAAGTAATTACTCCCTTCATCCCTATTTAATCTTCACATGTGCTTTTTATTTTTTTACAAGGAGCTTAAGAGAGATGAAATTGTGTGGTTGAAATTTGTGCAGACTTGAGAGAATATATTGATGTGAACCAAACAATTTTTTCTTTAAAAGGGAATGGGAAGATTAATTAGGGGCATCCAAAAAAGAAAAATGAGAAGATAAAAAGGGACAAAGGGAGTACTCGAGAGAACTATAATAAAGAAATCATCACACATATTTCAATAGATATTTTCCAAAGGAAATCTATGTTGGATCAAGTCCTATATTCACCATTAAATGTAAGTGCATGTGAAAAAGGGTCATACCGCCACCTGCCGGCTGAGACAAAGAACCATCCCCCCCTTTGATATGCCTATTTAGGGCAGCTGTGAAGGCCTCTACGTCTGCTCCTGAATGCATAGTTTCATCCTGTGCAAACACAAACGTTTCAATCAAACTGGCCCTTCGGGAAATTTAATTCCTAAGGTATATATTTAAAAAGAGATAAAAATCAGATGGTGGGCAGATGTGAAAAATAGAACATCTGCCCCATGTGGGAAGTGATGGAATAGAGACCTCATCTTCTTCGAGGAGTTTCATGATTGAAGGGTCCATTGCAGACGCTAATTCTACAGGTATCCTTCAAAGTCTGGCGGGATGGCTGCTTGGGGTCTGTTGGGGAAAAGCTGAAATTCAGAAAACTTTGTTGCAGTCAAAGTGATAAATATCTGTTGCAGCTTCAACAAATTTAATGTGGGAAAGGTCCTATGAAAGTAGAATTCCTAATTATTACTAGCATTACACACACACACACATCGTCACAACACTAAAGTCCCCATTTACTATTTGGGAGCCAAACAATTACTTCTTTCTTCAATTTATATCTTAAATCATTTGTTAAAATAATAGTCATGTCTCCCCTTGCTTTATCGAGTATTTGATGTAGCTTTTAAATAAATTGTTTTTATTTTAAAATATTATATCATTATTTAAATAAACTGAATTGAAAATAAATTCAAACAACGTAATGCAAAACGGAGCTTTAGTTTTTTTATGGAGGGAGTATGGCGGGATGAAGCCATGTGAAACAATTAAAAGAAAGGTGGCCTTTTTGTAATATTGTCACTTTTGAAATAATTGGCTCACACGGCTTCATCCCCTTCATCCCACCAAAAGGTCATCTCATGGGAGTCAAGTCAATCCTTATACACACGCACGCACGCATGCGCGCGCGCACACACACACACACATATATGAACACATGAAAAGGCCAAATTTATCCAATCTTTCTCCTAAGTTTGCCCCATCCTTTCACACACACACTCAAAGACAACATGCTAAGCCCTTGTGTGAAAATTCCCATTGAAACTAAACACTTGTCTTGACTATTTGATTCATCAATTGCAGCAAATAAATACGGAGTGTTAAAAAGAATTGTGATAAAAAAATTAAAACACAATTTCCAAAAGATATTTTCTGAATGGAATTTGTTTTGGATCAAGTGATATAAATACACAATCTTACTATACATATTCTTTTTTGGCATCATCTTACTATACATAATAATGCAGTTTTTGAGCAAAATGTCCTTTCAAATTCATTTGCTACATTTAATCAATTCTGATTGTAAACGATGTCAAGCATTAATTAATGGTGAACCATGCATGCAAAAATTATCCACGCCTTAACATATCATTTTTCTGTAGTAACATAACGAATGATCATGAAACATTATGCAACAATCATAGTTATCACGGCACCAAGGCGAGGCGGGTGCCAACGAACCGCCACGATGCCTAGTCGACTAGGCAACCACCTAGGCAACAATTAGGCGACTACTCATAAACGATAAATGTAGTAACATTGATACAAATATATCATAATACATAATAGATGTTTGTATTCATATAGTAGAAACTTCATACTCAACATACCTAATATCCATTTGAAACAAAATAAGGTACACAAACTTATTTCCTACTTCTAGATCCCTGCCCTTTTTTTAAGAAAACCAATTGTTATAAAAACTGAATAGAAATTATTTAAAGAAAAAGACAAAATAAGCAAGGAGTTGGACTTAAGAGTAAATGCAAGAAATTTTTCTCTAAAAAGAGAGAAGAGATAACTTTTGAAATTTCAAAAAAGGAAAACGAAAATACTCGTACATGGTATACAAAGTATTCAATTCAAGAATAAAATGAAAAAGGTTGGCGGCTGAAACATAGGGTTGCTGCTAGGTCGATCAACTCTGAGTTCTCTCGTTTATGGTTAGTGGCTCGCCTCCTATGCCTCACCCCTTGTCAGCCTTTGTTATGCCTGGACGACTTGTCGACGCCAAGTCAAAACCGGACAACAGGACATGGTGAGGCAAACTCGCATGGCGAGCATCATCCAACGCCTGGATGCCTAATAAACGCCTGGGCAACGCCGTGATAACTATGGAGACAATCCATCCATAACTTTCACAACATATCAATTTGCTAAATGAACACATCAAAGTAGGATGTGCCATGTCATGGACAAAGTTGTTCACTATCTGGCTTTTGATCAATTCAATAAGACACAATTCTTGAATACGTGTCAAACAAGTAAAATAAATTACAAATTCACAAAATGCATAAAAGAAAGAGATAATATACAAAAAATCTAAGATCGGAACTTAAATAAGAAGTAAAATTGATTTCCCGAACTACCGGTATTTCAAAGTTCTTAATCAAATTTGTAACAATGCAATCGATGAACTGTGAGAACTTGTTTTTATGACAATATAACAACCAATTTTCCAAAACCACTATTAGTTAGACATGATGGTTAAAATAATGAAGGTCGCTCGCGAATGGCAAAACTTTCCCAGGCAGAAGAAACCAAACCCCTAGATAAAACTAGACGCTCATTGAGCCCTTGCATTGATATTCTCAACATCTACCTGCCATTTTTCCATAATTAGTTTATTTATTAGTCCTTAGTTGTTTTCAATAAAATATAGAGTTGAAGTTGTGCAAAACATTGCAAAAGACTAACTGTAGCAATACTTATAAATATTTTGTGATTCTGAATAACAAAATTCAAGCTTTTTGAAATTATTCCCACCCAAAATAATAACGGCCTGAAAATAGCCAGCACCCTCACGGTAAAAAATTGCACTAAGAATATAATGATCACATTTTCACTCGAAAAGTCTGGCCTCTCTGCATTAAAATTTATTTTTTGCTATATAATGCAGAGTACTCTCCAAAAATGATTTTTTAAAAAAACATTTACAAATGTAACAGATAATGCTAAAATATAAAATAAAAACATTTTAGTATTTACTTTGAACAAACGCATAAAAGTATATAAAATGGCAAATTTGGAAAAAGATAGTACATAAACGAAGCAAATACTTGTGCCAAAAACGTGGAAGTAGGATCTGTACAGTGGTTCTTTGGAAAATATGTAGTGTCAGACGGTCAGACCACTCGGACCTAGTGTTTCAGATATAAAAAAAATTATGATAGATTTTACAAGGTCCAGTCCCAAACCCACAGAGCTCTGGGAAAAACAAAAAGTATAGCCGCATTGCACCTCATAGTTTCTAAATCAATTCCAATGAGTGTTGCTTGTTCTATCAAATGTGGAAAAATAAGGATTTAACATAAATTCCATAAAGTAGTGTTTTGAAACTAGGAATTCATTTGAATTTTGGATTTCAATTCTAAAATTTGAATTATAAGAAATCATCCAAAATAGGAGTAATACTAGCCCTTATTCCTAAAATAGGAGTAAGGAGTGATGTTTCTATCCTCAAGATAGGATAATAGAACTATTGTACTATGATGGTGTGACACTTTATATTGGCATTCAACAATGTTTTTTGGTATTATATGTTGGCATTAACGGCATTATAGGTCCTATTTTGGGATAAAAACATGAATGTCCTATTGTGGTTCTTCCTCTATGTTTTATTGTTTTACTCTTACTTTAGTCTTTCTACCTTGAATTATTGTATTTCAAATTACAAGGTGGAGTGTATGCATTTGAACTTGAGCATTGTTGGGAATTACAGGAATTTGGCCAAAATCCAAATCCAATTTTTTTTGGGATTCACAAGGATTGAAATACAATTTGAAGTTCCCAAACAGGAAATAAAATTAATTAAAGCTAAAGAACATGTATTTAACGACAGAACACTAATTCCATAAATTCCAGAAAAATAATTGCAGAAACTTCAGAAAAAAATATGAATGAAACTATGTACAAAACGAACAAACCTGCAAAACAATACTGCGTATAATCCTATTTTCCTATTCAGATATCATAAACCACACTCCGTAAGATTCTACAGAGACTCAAAGGCCGGAAGAAAAAGAAATCTAGAAATCTAAGAAAGGTTCAACTGAAGAAACCTGGCGGCTGGCTCCCTCCGTCTCTCCGAATCGGAGATGGGGAATCCGGAATAGGGATCGGCTGTCGACTGATCGTCAACTCCTCTCGCCTGGCTCTCTCTCTTTCCAGTCTCGCCCGACGCCCAGACGCAGCAGCAACACAGGTCGCAATGATGATGGCTTCATGGGTTGAGGCCTTGAGGGTCGCTAATGGGTTATTGTAATAAATTGGGCCGAGTACTTGGACTATAGCTTGTGGTTGTGGCCTAGGAACAGTTATTTATATTCTAACACGCCCCTTCACGTGCAGGCGTAGTCTTTTCGAGCCTTGCACGTGAAACCTTAATTTTTTTAAACTGGGTGGCGCTGAGTTTCGAACCCCTGACCTTTTAGTCAACGAGGCTCTGATACCATGACAAGGAACCAATTCAACCACAAGCTCAAGCTTGTGGTTGTGGCCCAGGAACAGTTATTTATATTCTAACAGGGAACAACTTCTTCCATTAGCGTGAGCGTTTTGGATAAAATTTTAATGGTGTAGATCAATTCTGGAAATGCTAATACTAAACGCTGCCATCAAATAGCATTTTCAAAACGTTAATGCTAATCTCTAACGCTGATGTCAAGCAGGACCTATATAGAAGAGGTCTATCATCAATGGCATTAATTTACATGAATGAATATTCGATATTTTAAAAATATCAAGAAAATGAAATGTGTGCATATCAATTTCTTTAAAGTGTCTAATTCCTTTTTAAGTCATTAAAGTTATTTCACTAAGATCTAGAGGTAATATTGTATAATTGCGGCGATTGACTATTGACGACAAGTGGGGGAGTGATGATGGGTTGTGGGTGAGGATGATTGACGGTTGAGGGAGATATCAAAATCACAAAATTGATCTCTCAATATCGTGAGGTATGAAAATATCTTTCATTGGGAGTTGTGATATCAGAAGATATGAAATATTATTTTTTTATTTTTCATCAAATACCTAAAAATGATCCTAATATTAGAGATGCTAAAATCTTTGTATTTTATACACATCAAACTTATCATTAGAGACAGATGGATTACAATCGCATTCGATTTGAATGAAGAAAGGTCAACTTTAGCTAGGGGTCGATATTGATCGAGCTCAATGATCGTACGATTGGTGATCTCTGATAGTGATTCAACCACCACACATAGTTGTAGGCGGTAAAAAAGTCACATATTAAGTTCATATGTGTAATTTTTTATTAGTGAAAGACTCGAATCAATGATGACAATCTGTTAGAGTAAGGGTGTTGAAGGATTGACATATGTGACTCTATCACCTCTTATTGTTTTTTGGAGAACAAAGGAGTGAATTCCTTCTAATTTGAACTCTTCCACATGTACAGGTTATCTCCTCCATGTAAGTAGTTCTTGTTAGTTTGTTGTGCATGTTGTATAAATACGCCTCTGCTGGTGTAAATATTATTAATTCAATCATTCATCAATATTCTTTATTGTTACTCATTATCTGCTTTTTTACCAACTGGCGAATTTGATATTTTAATTGCCAAGTACACTGTACTATATTTGGTTGATTGTTGAAAAAACAAACAGGTGAAGCTTTGTAGTCTAATGACACATCTGTTACAGCTCAGGCGCAAACCGTTTAGCTCAACGCAAGAAGTGCAAGCCACCCCACCTACAGAGCTCATATAACTTCAACCAGTATAACACACTCGGCTCTTAACTTTAATATAACCTAACTGTTTATTAGTTAACCAACTAACGGTTTTAGGCTCGTCTAAGAATGATGTTGTACACTGCACTCTAGCTGTGTGTGTTGGTTTGGTCATCGGATAGTTCATAGATTTAGAATGCAGCTTATTTTCATTTATTGCTTTTCCTGTTTTTTATTTTGATCACTCTTTACTGGGTTATTGGGTTTGTTGTTGTTGTTGTGTTGAAAAAAAAAGGACGAGTCTCATCCCCGAGAGCCCCCACACCCGGTCGGACGGTTACTAAGAGGAGGTAAATTGGATTTTGATCGCAGATTGGTAGAAAAGAGTAGAGCATGCATCTGGTACCTGCAGAGTCATTATGTTTAGCACAGTTGTTTCTCAGCGCAGCTGTTAGAAATTGAACTGGGGTCTTACTCCCTTGACATTCCTCAGGGCCGGTCCTAGGAATTCTATGGCTTGGGCTGAAACAGAAAAAAAGGCCCTAAAAATCTTATCCCTAATGGTGTAACAAATTAACAAATGTAAATCAATTATATTTAAATGATAATTGACGCAATATTATTAAAAGAAAAAAATAAATGAAAAAATCATAGTATTATAATTACATAAATATGGAAAAACAAGGAAATAAATTCATATATCATAAATTCATATCAATTTGTTAATTTTTCAGTTATTTTTTTCCTTTTTCAGTTTTCATATTTTTATATGTATCGTAAATTCATATCAATGCGTCAATTTTTCAGTTTTTTTTTGTATTTCAGTTTTCAGTTTTTTTTGTTTTTCAGTTTTTTTATAGATTATATATATCATAAATTCATTATATTTCAAATCAATTCATCCAAATCAAATAAAGAACATATAGAACTATTAATTCATTCTATTTCATATCAATTAGCAAGGATTTTAAATTAAAAACTAATAATTAAACCTAGATTTTAAATCCAAAGAAGGAAACTATGAAAGAAAGAAAAGAGTTACAAAATTGGAAAGCTTGTGAGTAGTGAATGCGGAATACCTGGAGGGTCGGCGGCGTCTAGCGGCGGAGGCAGCGGCGGTGTCTCTACCGTCACTCAGAATTTTCCGGTCGATTTGCGTGCGAGCTTTGCGTCTGCGTCTTTGGCTCTCTGACACTTAGGGGCTGTTTGGAAACTTCTGAATCGGTAAGTGCTGAACCAGTAAGAGGTCTGAACCATTAAGAGCTAGTATATTGCTTAACTATTCAGAGGCAAATGTCTGATCAATTCAGAAAAGAGGTCTTAACCATTCAGACTCTGTATAATACTTAACCATTCAGAGGCAAATCTCTTAACCATTCAGACATCTGAACCATTAAGAGGCTGAAACAAACAGTCTGAACCATTAAGTGTTGAACCATTCAGACATCTGAACCATTAAGAGGCTGAAACAAACAGCCCCTTACTTTCTATGGCCTTAATACGAAGTAAAAGGCTTACAAGAAATTGACGATTAAAAGATGGGCCGTTGACTTGGGCTAGGTGCTGGACTGCTGGGCTACTTATATACATATATATAGATATATTATACTCGTATTCAAAAACAATTGGGCCTTTAAAATAATTGGTCCAGTCCAGATGGACTATTTGTCTCTCCTATTGTGCAAGCTCTGATATTCCTTGTCTTTTCCAACTGCGCAACGCCTAGCGGCACATGGTTTGTTGTTGTGTGGAAAAAAAGAATGTTTCATAAGAAAACCCCCTAAATAGGAGTAAAACATATATCATATCCTCAAAATAAGATTTCAAATTTAAACTCCTTTAAATAGGAGTAATTAATTAAATTTTGTTTTGATTTACTCTTCCGCACTAACCACACCGCATCCCAACCCTATGCGGTTGAAAAAGTCACCTGTCCCCTTCCCAATCTCATCCTTCTATGATCTCTTTCGTTCTTATCTCAATTGCTGACGCTGTTAACTTAGTCTCAATCCCCGCCACACTCTTCATCATCTCCTTTTCTCTTATACACACAATCTCCTTCCACCCTCTCCACCATTTCTATTTTTCATGGCTCGAATGACTCATTCCCATTGGGTAAGTTTGAATTCAATTTGATATTTAATTTGACATAAGTAGTTAAATTCAATTTTAAATCTAAAAATTTACTTTTCGGGGAATTATTTTGTAAAATTGGTACTAATTCTTTTAGCTTTGCGTCAGTTTGAAACTTTTAATCAATTTTATATTCAATTTCAAATAGATTGTGACGTTTGATTTTAAATCTATTTTTACTTCTTAGAAAATTATTTTGTAAGACATATATTGAAACGAAATGATTAGTGTGTTGGCAAATAGAGTTTCTTGATGTTTAACTTTTTTGAGATTATGCATTAACATATGTGTTATATTATACATTGCCAAGTGTGTTATATGTAAAATTATATATTGGCATATCTGTCATTATACATTGCCAAGTGTGGCAATATATATTGTCATATTTGGCATTATTTCTTGGTTTAGCATTATGCATTTGCATGTATGACTTTATACAATGACATGATTGTCATTATGCGGTTACGTGTAGCGTTAAATGCAGTTTTGTTTGACACTGTATAGACATTTTACTGTAGTAATTTACTGAGTTTCTATTTATTGCTTTAGAATTTTGACATATATCTACAAGGTATTAATCAAGTCTCATATATTTATTGATTAAAAATTTTGGCATTAAGTGTGGTCTTGTTTGACACTCTATGAGCTCAAGGCAACACTTAAAGGTAATGTTTATCAATTTTTTTCTCTTCCTAAGAATGTCAAATCATCAAATTAGAATATTTGAGTTGTGAATTAGGGCATATAAATATTCAGAAGCAGGATAGAAATAGCCGTATTTGTCTATGGTACTGAGCTTTGGGTGTGATTTTGTTGTCGTCCATTGAAGATGTAGTTAAAAGAATCATTTACTGACAATATTTTAACTTTAGGTAAAAAAAATTAGTCGGCTTAATAGTTAGCCATTATTTTGATAAAAAATAAATATGTCCTATTTTATTTCATGACTCGAAAATATAAAATATTTGTAAAGCCAACCTTTTAATTCAAAAAACAGGTAATTGGGTTGATCTCATAAAAAGGTGACTAATAGCATAAAGTTTGTTAAGTTTAGACTTTGGTGTAAAAAGTTATGAGCAAAATAAATGTTATAGTTCAATAAATAAATATAAAGATTTTATAATATAATAATAATAATAAATAATCAATTTTTCTAATCTATTCTAATTCCTACGTGTAACTCAATGTCAAGGCCCAACCCCCCTTAACTCCTTAAGTGTGTACAGGCATGCAAAAAAGAAAAAAAAACAAAGGGAGAAGCTAAGAGAGCATGAGAAGATAGAATTGAAGACAAAAATTAATTAACTACTCCTATTTATAGGAGTTTAAGTTTTAACTCCTATTTGAAAATATAACATAACTTTTACTCCTAATTTGATCCTTCTCCCATGTTTCATTCTTTGTGGGATTTCCGGTAGGTGGCCTTTAAGTTTTTTTCTTTCTATTTTTTTCATTTAGGTTTCCTTTGTGAGATTTTGGTTTAGTGAGTGAATTTAGAGTGGGATTTTGTGGACGGCAGAGGTGTTTGGTGATTTTTTTAATTCAGCCATATGTGTGGTTAAGCCCTTCCCCTGATCCGTATTTTTTTTATACTTTTGTAGTTGAATAAAAATTTTATAACTCCGTATTTTCTATTCTTTATTTATCGGTGGGGTTTTAGTGAAACCGGAGTAAAGCGACACTCCGGTGCCACTGTCATTTTGGAGCACTGCCGGTGCTTCATTCGCAAAATTGACGGTTTCTATCCCCTAACCCACCTCCTAAACTCCCACTGCACCCCCACCCAAATCCCGTCGTAAGCCCTCCCACAAAATATGTGGTTATTATGCAATGCATAATAACCACACATTTTGTGGGGGGGCTTACGACGGGGTTGGGGTGGAGGTGCAGGGGCGGAGGTAGGGTGAGGGGTTTAAGGGGTGGGTTAGGAGGGTAGAAACCGTCAATTTTACGAACGGAGTATCGGAAGTGCCCCAAAATGACAGTGGCACCGCTAGTATCACCAAAAGTGGGTGTCACTAGAACCCCACCGTTATTTTTATTCTTTTTTTCAGGGGATGCATGTAAGTAAGCTTTTCAATACATTTCTTTTTAAATGAGAGTACAAGTTAAAGGTAATGATAAAAAAGAATATCAAAAGGCGAAACCAATGTAAAAAAACACGTACTCTAAAATACCAGCACAATATCAATAACAAAATGGCAAAAAAAATTGTCAAAATATTACAGCAAAACACTGTTGTCAACAGCCATTTGGTGGATTTAGGACAATTGCACTAGATTAAGGGATTAGGGTGGTCAATTAAAATTTCTAAATTGGGGGCCACATCCACTTATGACATAATAAGTGAACCCGCCATTTAGTAAAGAAAACTACAATTGACACAAATGCACTACAAATATATAAAACGTGGTTTTAATTAAGGGTCCGTTTGGTATAAGGAATTGGTGGAATTGGAATTGAATTGGAATTGAAATTCCATGGGATTCAATTCTATAGAATTGAATTCTATCAATTTCAATTCATTTTTTGCACTATCAATTCCAAATCCACATAATTTTTGTGCTACCAAACACCAGAATTGAAATTGAAGTCTCCAATTCCAATTCCATAGTTTGAATTCCATGTACCAAACGGAGCCTAAGAGAGTAGGCCTGGATTATCATGATGAATGGAAGTGGCGAAACCCCACCGTCCATCCGAGTTTTTCTTTTGTTTCTTCCTCATGTAATGGTAAGTATAGTACTCTTTGTTTGCACACAAGTGCTCTTCAATTCTATTAAATCATCACACTGACACAATATATGGGTTCATGTCTTTGAGTAGCTTAATCCTATTTTTTTTTCCTCAGTCGTTGGCAGTAGTTGCTTTCGATCTTTCAATTTTGTTTGTTTGTTTGTTTCTTCCTTTGCATCTCTCTTTCTAATGTTTTGACGGAGACAGCACTGCCGATGGTGGAAGAGATACGTTGTATGTGCACCGCAAGCACACCCCGTATATATAGACCGGACATGTTCCTTTCCTCCTCCCCTAAATTTTATTGTCTTATTCTTAATTTGGCAATTAGCTTGCACTAAATGGAAGGAAAGAGGATTTAATTTGCTTGGGAAATGGGAGAAAGTCAGAAAACCGCAGTCAAATGAGTATTAGTACTTGGTACGGAGTAATTTGCAATGGTGCCTGGGTAAACAAATTTTCCAAGAGTTAATGACTTGTGGTATTTATGGCAGCAGGACACCAAAGTTCTAAAAAAACACTAACAATACCTTTGGTTCAAGGAATTTGAGAAAGAAAAGAAGAGAAACTGAGAAGGAATACATTTTTCTTGTTTGTTTGATTAGAGAGGAAAAGAAAAGAAAAGTATAAGGAAAAAAAAATAAGAATGCAAAATGCACTAAAATAAGGAAAAACCATATTCTTTCGATTGTTGAAAAATTGAGAGAAAATCATTTTCTTTTCTTTTCCTTCCAATTTCCTTGAACCAAACCTAGTGTAAGTATGCTCGATTGGAAGTGAGGAGAGGTGAAACAACGGATGGGAAGGAATGGGAAGGATTTCCTTCACCTTGTTTGGTTTGAAGCGGAATGAAATGTTTTATTTTTAATTTTTTATTTATAGTTTTCATTTTTAAACTTATTTTTTCTGTTTTAAAAAAATTATTATCAGTTTTTTGGATTACTATTGTTATTATTTATCCTATATTTTAATTTTTTTATTTTCAGATGTAATTTATTTTTTTAAATTTAATTAAGTATATATATATATATATATGTATATTATTTTATTTATTATTTATTACTACAATTTTGCATTATGAATTGATTGATTTATTTTATTATTATAATTATTTATTACTATTATTATTATCAATTTTAAATCTTTATTTATAATTTTTTATTTATGTTATTATTTTTATTATGGCTTTTTATTTTATGATACTAGTATTTTTAGTTGTTTTATTCTTATTTTTTATATCTACTTCTTTACTATTATTAATATTTTAATTATCATTTATTTATTTATTCATTTTATTACTATACAGTTTTTTTATTACTATTATTTTTAATTACAAAATGTTTTGATTTAATTTTTTTTATATTTATTTATTTTAATTTTATTTTATTATATATAATTTTTTTGACATGACAAAAAAATTGATGAAAGAAGGAGAGAATGACAAAAGGGAAGGAAAATCTATCTGATTCAGAAGGATTGACCTAGAGGGAATGGCAGGGAATTGAAGCTAAAATTTTAAGTCTCATCCCCTCCATTTTTTTAAACCATACAAGGGGATGGATTCTGATTCCCTCTCCTCTCTTCCCCAATCCCATCCCTCCCTCCAACCAAACAAAGATATATTATACGGAGTTGGAAGAAATTAAAAAGGGTTGTAAAAAATTAGAAAAAGTTGGAAAATATTATACTCCCTTCGTCCACAAATAAACTTTACGTTGCGCGTTATGATGATCTACTGAAGTTATTTTCAAATCATTTTATATGAAAAATGCTGTAAAATTTAAAAATAAAAATTACATATTAAAAAACTATATCAAAAGATCTACAAAACTAGAGATGTCATGATTATATTATTTTATCAAATGAGTAACGAAAATAGGCCAACAAAGTAAATAAAGTTTGATCCTGTGAATAGTGAAAGAAAAATTTATTTGTGTATAGAGGGAGTAAAAATTAAAGTGTTAAAAAATCACTCAATTAAATGATCATCTAAATAATATATGTAAAAAAAATCTAATTTTGGATAAAAAAGAATTTATCTTTGTATGTGTTTGAGGTTGTATGTTTTCATCATATATAAATATCATTTTTAAATTGTTGGATGAAACTGTAAGAAATTAGAAGTGACTAGAAAGATTTAAAAAAAGTTAGAGCTTAATTCTTTAATTTCAAATCCAAAAAAACAGGAGCTAAGAGCCTAAAGACACATAAATTAAATGTGAACCTAACTAGGGAGTATCACGTAAGAGCACTGGAAATACGTATGAAGCCCCGGGGCTTCAAACTCTCTCTCTCTGCCCAGTCAGCTTTAACTTACACCAAAAATTTACTGGAAATGGGTTTGAAGCCCCGGAGCTTCAAACTGAGGCTTCAAACCTTCATTTTTTACATTTTTAAATATACATCTTCTAAATTTAAATTAATAAATTTAAATTAATTTATTATTTAAATTAATCGCAATGAGAGTAGTGCATTAAAAAAATTACTTTCATTAAAAAAATAATTAAAAAATTACATTAATTAAAAAATAAACATTTAATTAAAAAATTACATTAATTAAAAAATTAAAACAAATTATATTTAGGTGTGATCTCGTTATGTCTGCTCTCCAAAGAAAATTATATTCGTTTGGTCGTTTGACTCGAGACCGGAGAAATGAACATCAAAAATGAAGAGATGCATGTTAAAAAGATGAAAAAAATTGAATATTTTTGTTAATTTGAAGAAGATAGAAGAAAAGATTTTGTGGGTGTTTAATTTAAAAAAAATTAAAGAAAAAAACTTTTGTTTGTAAGTTTTTTTATAAAAAAAATTTGAAGAGGAAAATATTTTGTGGGTGTTTAGAGGAAGAGTTTTTTTTTAATTTGAAGAAAATAAGGCAAAACGCCCGTTATAAGTTTGACGCAATGCATATAACGTTCGGATGAAGCCCCAGGGGGCGGTGTTTAACGCCCCGAGACGTTAAAAATGCAATAACGCCCACTGGCGTTACATGCATACCCAGTGGCCTAAGAACTGAACTCTTTTTTCACAACATCCACAGAAAAGTGTCAAAGAAAAGTGTCGGTGAATACGGAGTGTTTTTTAATGTAAAATTGAACCAAGCAAGGAACTATTCATTGTTTATTCATCTTGATTCTTAACTAAAGACTAGCTCATCTAAAAGAAACATAAATTCCATCCGACGCACTGCATAAACAGACACATCGCCGATTCCGACTAAATCCGACTCACTGAGTACTAAAACTTACAACTCCAAAACCAAAACTCATCATTCCATTCCGGCGCCGCGACTTCAATCCCCAATTTAAATTCAGAGAAAGAGATTGAGAAGCTTTGGCTCTTCCCCGCCGGCCACGTCTCTCGCGATCCGGCAACCGCTCTCGCGACTCCCGCACACCTCCGGCGTCCACGTCCTCTCCGTACACCCCCGCTGCGCGCCGCCGTCGATCGTCGCCGTCTGACGGGATCGGGTCACCGCGGACTGCTCCGAGCTCCCCCACGCGCCGCCCTTCTGGAACCTTCGGGAAGGAGTCAGGAAATCGGGCGAGATCTGGCGCAGATCTCCCCCGGATAGAACAGTCTCGACGGCTCGGACGCACACGTGCCAGTTCCCGGTCGACAGAAGCCCCACCGCGCCGCTCACCGGATTCACCGTCCGCCCACACGCTTCGTACAACAACGACCTAAACAGAGCTGTTTTTGTTTTAATTTTTTGCAAGATAAAATCGACTAATCAATAATAGTATTTAATTCAACCAAAATCTCAAAAAACTTATAAAGGGGGAGGGACGTGTTTGGGGGTACCGGGTCTACGGTGGAGGGGGACGGAGGAGATGAAAGAAAAGAGGTCGGCGCGGCCAAAGAATTTGGAGACGAAGAGAGTGGCGTTGGCTTGGGCTTGAGGGTTATCCAACTCATCCAAACACGGCCTAAGGATGCAGTCGACCCCGCATCTTCTTCGAAGCACCCTGCAACCATTGCAGCTCATTCTTCTTCTTTCTTTCTTTTTAATTTCTTCCACTGAAAAAGCTGAATATAGATAGACGGAGAAATTTTCTCAGTTTTTTTTTAAAATTTAGGACAAAGGAAAAGAAGTGTTCTTGTTGGGTGGCGCTAGCTGTGAAATCTGAATGGGAATGGGATAATTATAGGAGGAATGGTACCTGACATCATCATTCACTAATCATCTCATCATTATGTTGTCCTTGTTTATGTGAGTTAATTACTTATTCTGATCTATATATATATATATATATCTTGTTTCCAGTTTATAAATTAATCCATATATTTAAATAAAAATATAAATCAAATTAGTTCTTTTAACAAAATTTAATTACTTAACGTTATAAAACAAACGTCGAGTACATTAACATAATACTTCATCATTCCTAAAATTATTCTATCAATTACTGTTTTCACGATCAACTTTATTCACTTTTTTTTATTAGTTCCATTCGTTATTTGATAAAATGATACATTTATTTCAATTCTAATTTTATACTTCCTCTGTTTCATAAAGACATTTATGTTTTGACTTTTAGAAATGAATATTAAATCAAAAATCTCTATAATAAAAAGACCAAAATGGTTCTCCCGATAACACATAAAAAGACCAAAATGAATATCAAATCAAACATCTCTCAAATATACATACCGACGCAAATGGTTCCCATCCAATCGAGTAAACCCGGTGTGCATCATTATATTAATGGAGCCCGGAACTGTCGGGTCGGATCCTCCACAAGTGGGTTCATCCTTCTTTTTATATTAGTGGAGTTTGTGAATTATTATATTGCGAGGGTCACTATCATAGCTTTATAAAAACAAACAATGGCTGTAAACTCTACTGTACGTTTGGTTCCAAATTGCTGGCGCTAGCGGTTCCGAGTTTCCGCGACTTTACTTAACTCATTGGCAGCCGTTGGATTTGGATTTTTTTCTGTGCGAGCTGACTCACTAATCACTACCAAGTACTCCCTCCGTCCAGAAATATTCTTCTCTCTTTCTTGTTTGGTTCGTCCGGAAATATTCTTCTCATTTCCTTTTTTAGTATACTTTTTAAGGATAAATTTCAATAATAATCCCTCCGTCCCACTGTCTTTGTCCACTTACCTTTTGGCGCATCATCCAATGCACTTCTTTAATCCATTTTATCTTGTAATTTGTATATTAAAAAGTTATAGAAATTATATATTAATAATCTATATGTTAAGACAAATCAAACAAGATCACACATGACTATATTTAGGCTTACACATTGAGAGAATTTGATGAGTCAAAGTTCTTAGATGAACAGTTCCAAAAGTCAAAAGTGTACAAAGACAGTGAGACGATGGTAGTACCTTCTATTTTATCTCTAATCTGTTTTTTTATTACTTTTTTAATAAGAAAAGGAGATTTAAAAGTTTATAATATCTGCATTTTTGGAAATTTAGCATTTTTTTATTACTCCTTAATAAGCGTGTCAAGTCAACCCGAGAAGAATATTCCCGGACGCAGGCAGTAATGTTTGTTTTGTACTTTGTGTTGTTCAACTTTTTTGGCCAATTAAGCTATTTGTACATCAAAATTTGTACTTACTCCGTTCCTAAATATCAAGTTTTTTCAATTAATTTTATTTACATATTGGTATAGAAATAGAAAATAAAATTTACATATCAAAAAACTACATGAAAAGTTCTTCGAAATAAGATGTGTCAAGAATATTTTATTTTATCAAATAACCAATGAAAACGTAGAAATAAACAAAAGTTTACGCAACTGTTGAAAAAGCAAATGTTGTAAATAATTTGGGACAGAGAGAGTATTTCATTTTTTACCTCAAAGGCATGCACCAATATTTTATAATATTGTGATGTTAGTTTGATAATTTACATTGACAAAGAATATCGGTGCAATTTTTTTAATTAAACTAACATTTTTCTTTTCGTGTGAACCTTTAAAATGTCGGTTCATTTGTTTGGTTACATTTTTGCTGTACCCCTAACATGGTTATTTTTTCGCACCACTTTCCTCTATTAAATCTCTTTCAAATCTCAAACACTTCATTTAATAGCGGGTAGGCTAGTTGACAAAAAAGAAGTGTCAAGGACATAAGAGCACTTACAGTAGGACGTATTCTCGCCCCGCCCCCATTGTCTGTTACATGAGCATTTCACTGATTTTTAGTCTCGTTTCTAAATCATGCATTGTTATTACCCTAAAAAATACCTCTCTATTTCAATGCAGTCTGGGCGTCACTCTTCCAACCCATGCGAGACTTATTTTCCGCCTGGGTAAACTTGCAACGGAAGCCCGACGCAAAAAGCATGCTTTTCGGTGCGGCGGATTTGGGGCATCCACTTTAGATGTTCAAATGCTTGAATCTAATTTCTTACAACTGCAATGTGAGTTATAATGTGAGACAGCAATACTAAGCATGTAGTCTCTGCAAAGTACCAATTAAGTGCATACTCTACTTTTTGTTATCTATTTACGATTAAAAATCAATTTAACTTCTCTCCATCATTGTCTAGTCGGGTCTAAGAGGCCCTCTAGAGCCGCCCCAATCATATATTGGGCCTTGAGCAATGCAAAAATTTAGAGTCCTTTATTTAATGGTGTAATTAGAAATAAGTTGAAAATAAATACAAAAAATATATTAAAGCTACCATCGTAATAAAGATATTCAAAAAAACATTTAAGAAAACTTTTCATAGAATTTACTTAAATAGGACTAGAACATAAAAAAATAACAAAATAAGAGTGTTATGTTTTTATTTTTGAAAAAGAAATTCGCATTGTGATAATGTGGTGGCAATGTGGCATTGTACGTACATATACACGTTATTACGTAGTATATTTTTGGTAATTTATTTGCATTTTAACTCATATTTTGAAAATAAAAGATATGGAAGCTCTATTTTTGGTATATTTTTAAAGTTTTACTCATACTTCTTTTTTTCAAATGTTAAGTAACTACAAAAATCAAAAATCAAATGTGGGTTAAGAAAGGAATTAGCTCCACATCGGCTACTTGTTCAATTATTCTTTTCTATCTGCTATATGTTCTTTCTTTTAAAACTTTACGAATAAGTTATTAGAGTTTGAATAATGGACTTTGGAGTATAGAGGGTGTTTGGGATTGTATTTGAAAATTGTTAGACAATAAAATTAATATTACTTCTGGTAGTATTGGTTATGGTAGTGTTTCATTATTAGTCAGCTTCCTAGTCCTATTTGTAGTAGATGTTGTATGTTAGTTAGTTTCCATTCTCTATTCCTAGTTGTCTTAGGAATATCTCCTATATATACTCTATCATGTATTCCATGATTAAAGGAGTAATATTATTATTTCAATATTTCGACATGGTATCAGAGCCACCGCTCTTGGTGACCTAAAAGAGTTCTTTGCTCCCACCGCCGCCGCCGGTAATTCCGGCGACGGCGGCTCCACCCTATTCACCTCTATTTTCTTTTCCTTCTTTTATCGTCAAATCAACGTCTCCATTCAAACGAAAAAAAGGAAAACAACCTTGTTGAAATCATACAAAAAAAATCATCAAAGGCATAACTTCTCTCTTGTCATCTCCATGGTTCTTCAAAAAAAACTTAACTCTTCACAAACTCTCTCAACTAATCCTATCTTCTCAAAAAAGGAAAAAAAATGATAGTTGCTCTCCAATTCACCATATCAAAATCTCAAACCCCAAATCTTTTTTCCTTCACCAATTCTTAATCCACTTTTTTTCCTCTCAAATCACTCATTCTAATCATCAATCTTTCTTCTTTTTTTCTTTTGTTACCCAAAATATTCCAAAAAAAACAACACAAAAGCAAAGCCAAGAGAGGAATTAAGTAGTGAAAGAGAAAGAATACCTCTACAACCCTTCAAAAAAGAAATAGGGCATTGCCCGGATCCAAGAAAAAAGATAAAGAATGTCAAGAATCTTCAGTCAAACAGGCACCTCCAGTAGCCTTCTATATTCTTCTTCGACGTCAGCAGCTATAAGCGTACGTCAACCTTCTCTCCTCTTCTTCGACGCCAGCAGCTACCAACCCACGTCAATCTTCTTTCTTCTTCATCGACGTCAGCAGCTACCAACGCACGTCAATTTCTCTCTTCTCCAACGACGTTAGCAGCTACCAGTGCACGTCAGACTTGTCTCTTCTCCAACGACGTCAGCAGCCACCGGCGCACGTCAGACTTGTCTCTTCTCCAATGACGTGAGCAGCCACCGGCGCATGTCAAACTTCTCTCTTCTCAAAGTTTCCAGTTTCCAGCTAGTGTCCAAGCTTTCTCTTGCTTCAGCCAGAGTTCAGCTTGAGGGGAGATGTTAGACAATAAAACTAATATTACTTCTGGTAGTATTGGTTATGGTAGTGTTTCATTATTAGTCAGCTTCCTAGTCCTATTTGTAGTAGATGTTGTATGTTAGTTAATTTCCATTCTCTATTCCTAGTTGTGTTATTAATCTCTCCTATATATACTCTATCATGTATTCCATTATTAAAGGAGTAATATTATTATTCCAATATTTCGACAAAAATAACTTATAGCTTATACTTTACTAAAATACAATTTTAAATGTTTGTTAATCTGCTTTAGCTTATAAATTATGGCTTTAGAAATTAAAATTAAGGTCTAGAAGTACTTTCTAGCAAAGTTAAAAATACATGCTTTCTGCTTCTAAACTATGACTTCTACTTTTACATAACTCACCACACTCCCAAACACCCTCTAACTAATACTGATAAACTTTACAGATAAGTGATTAAAGTGATTTCTACAAAACCTGAAAACAAAAGCACCTCATATCTGCTTCTTCGAAACAGTGTTCTATGTACAAAATAGTAGTGGTGAAAAGCAGAAGCTGACATGCCAAACAGAGTAAAATCACTTCCACGCAAAGCAGAAGCTAAATTATTAAAAGCAACGTACTCCCAAACACCCTCTTAGTGTGGGCCGTGAATGATAAACTTTGGAGGCTTGTTTATTTTAATAACTCGAGTACATGTTTTCAATTAATTTCATGAAATTTTAGAATTGATTTTTTACACCATATTAAAATGTTTGTCTAATTTTAACTTTTTTTAAATTAAATTATTTAACTTTTGATCTTTAATATAATAAA